GTTCAGCAGATGAGTGCACCTGGTTTTACTTTGATACCTGAATTATGAATCTGATCTATATGTCAGAAGGACTCTGTCAACTTTAAATATGCTCAGTTAAAATAAAAGGTCTGACTTAAAATAAAAGGTCTGACCGGTGTGTCCTGCTGGGACAGTTACCAGATACCAGTTACCAGATATTGGGTCAGGAAGGAATTTTTATTAGATTAAGCAGAGTGCTTTGCCCTCATCGGTAGTTTGAGGCTACAGGGTTAGTCAGGAGTTTTGTTGGCCAAATGCACTGCTAGACAGGGACCTTTGGTGGTGGTGCTACTCCATCTGTCCTACTCTCTTCCTGTGGCACAGTCCAGTTGTGGTGGTTGGTTGGCCTTTCACTGCAGGCATTAAGTTTGTTTTAGCGTGTTGTGGCCTTTGCAGTGTGGGGGTTGCCCAGTAGATGGTCTACAGGCTTAAAATATTCACTGCCACAGTTGACTGTGGTTGCTGGGGGCTGAAACTGAGGACATAAGTGGTCCCTTCCTATCCTGTGTGCCAGTATAATGTTGTTTCACATGCTTTATTCTTCCACTACTAATTTTTGAGTTTTTAAGATCAAGGGTGTCAGGGAGAGGGCTGTAAAAGAAGGCTTTTTCTCCCCAGCTGGTGTGTAAACAGGCCTCATAAACAACATGGGAAGCTGTCTGACTAGACAGAGAAAACAATCTAAGAGCTATTGGCAAAGCTGCTGCATTCAAAGGGTAATCAATCACTCAGACGAGATGCAGTGTGGCTTTTGCCGAGCTCTTTCAATGACAGAAATCTCACATTTCTTATTGTTTGGATACTGTTTCTTTGAAATTAAACAATAATGAAAGGGGCTATACAAAACATCTAAGTGCACTGTCACTTAATCTTGGAGAAGTTTTATTAATCCAGTAACATTAAAAAACAATATTCAGCAAGAACAGTTATGCTCATCTTCGCCAGTGAATCACCAGTCAAAAAGTAGTGCTCTGCCTTCAGTCTTCTCCTGGGGCAGATTTCTCTTCTGGTGGAAACATGAGTGCAGTGGAATTCAAAGGCAGTTCAGCCTGAGATTTGGTGGGATTCACATTATAGCAGCATGAAGTCCACAGCTGTCTGTAGGAAACATCAAATGTTCTTAATGGCATCTCAGGTCCAGAGTGGAGACATAAATACATTGCTTTGCATATCTGATCAGCGCTAATCATTTGTTCTGGTGAGATTGTGCTTCTACCGTGAATTTCACTGGTTGAACATGTGCTCAGTCATTGCCCATCTTGCTGAGGAGTCAACTTGGGAGCCAGTCTGTTCTGCTCAGAGAGCGTCCTCTGTCTACAGCCTGCTTCCTCACTGCTGCACTGAGCTGTCAGCACAAAAATATTTTGTCTCATCTCCCTCAGAGTCTCCCACTCTTCATTCCAAAGGCATTTCCATATCACTTGAGTCTTTGCCTGGTGAAACGCTTAATCACTTAAAGGAACTTCACATCCTACAGTGCGTGGCTCTTTGCGCTCTGTAGCACATAAAGACCTGTGCTAGAAAGGCGCACAGATATCTGTAAAAGGGGAGATTTTCAACGACTCATTCCACTCCCAGGTCTCGTACTGCTCTGTGCAAGCTCAGCTAGATCCATGTAGACACTCGTGTGTCTCCCCTACCTGTGCTTCTGTTGGAGATCAGGCCCAGAAGCCGGGTAGCTGGGGGCCATCGGATGAGGATCTTTGAAGTAACTCTTCCTATAATCCCACTTATTATCCTGTGATGAACATTGTGGGGTGGTCTTAGTGCTTAACCTGCCTTACCTTTGAATTAAACTTAATCAGAAGATGGCCTACCTAATGCTGTCTAGCCACTAATGGGCCACTCACCAGGCTGGAGCTGGTTGCAAATAAAACGCCCTGAACCTCGATTAGTGTCGACATTGGGTCCTTAGCAACATGTCGCTCTACAAATCCACTCCTTTTGGTAGTATGGGCATAGTCTGTGTCAACAGGGGCTGAGTCTGGGCTGTGAGCACTGCTGAGCACCAGGGCAAACCCGCTGGGGCAGAACATGTGCCCGTAGGGTTATCCGGCTCACAGGTTGAAAGCAGCTCGTGTTGCTCGATGCCTGAGAGTGGAAGTAGAGTAGACGTACGGATGTCTGTACACTCCCCACAGCCTACGTTACTGCACTGGAGGTTTCTGCCAACTTCAGGCTGCCTGCTGTCTGATTCTCTGGCAAAGAGCAACCTGAACTTGCTCTTCTGGGTGCAGCGTGGGATGCTGATTCTCTGTGTTGTAAGATGTGCCAGTCAGCTGATGAGTGGTATCTTGTGTCTGGGCTTGCTCTGAATTTGCATCTTGGTGGACATGCAGAGTTGTGAGTTAGCTTTTCGAGCAGATGACTCTGTCTGGTGTGGCAGCTTCCTGTTTGCAGCCCTGGTTTATCCTCACCGTTCACCAGAATCTGACCATCTGCTCTTTCCAGCACCTGACCCTGGTCTTGTGATTAGTAAAAATCTTGTTCGTAGTTGCCTAAAAGAAACAGAACCTATGGCTTGTATAAAGGTTTTTAATTTATCTTGTGGATAGTCATCTTCTGAAGCACAGCTATAAGCTCCAAAAAAATTGATGGAGTAATGTTTGGATGAGGAAATAAAAGCAGGGTACAAAAGCAGAGGAGATTAATTGATATGACTAAGATTGCAATGCTAGTAAAAAATTTCCAGAAGTGACAGAGAAAAAAAGGTTTTATTGTTTCAATCCTTTTAGTTCCAATATTTAAGCATTTTTTTTAAAAAAAAATCTGAAGTTATTAGTGGCAGTAGTGGGTGTAACAACCATATAGTTTAGCAGGGAAGTCTATCCTGATGTCTGCTTTTGCTTTTCTTTTTACTCAAGAGTTCCTTAAATCAGGAGTTCTTTCTCATTTCATTTGCTTGCGTAGCAAAAGCAGTGGTGGCAAAGGCAGCAGGTACCAGACCCGTTCTGCAAATACTAATCGTGATGCATACACTGCAATTTGGGAACCCATGTTTTAAATCCAAATTGCTCGTCTGTAATGTGAGCGCTTTCAGTCAATTCAATTTATCAAAGTCTATCTCAGTGCCCCAGATGTGGTGGTTTGGGGCTGTTAAATATGCTGTTTCAGTTAACTATCGCAGCAGGATGTTGTTATTTATTAAACTATGTTACAATAAGCACACGAAGCAAACCGAGTGAGAATTGCTGCCTTCGCCGCTTAAGCAAACATATCCCTAAAGAGAGAGGAAGGCAGGAGAAACGGCAGTCACAGTCCTGACCCTTCAGTGCGAGCCAGCAGGACGCAGGGAGCGGCTCAAGCAGGGCTCTTCAAAAGGCGGCTGTCGATGCAGCCACAGCATGGGGTGAGTGCGTGGTGGGAGGAATTCTGGCCGGGGCGGACAAAGTCCCCCCGGGGACTGGTGTTCCATCCCAGCTCCTCTGCACGTTCAAATATCTCCTGCACAATAGTACCCTCTGTGGCTCGGCCAAAACCACGCGGCAGCTCTGCAGCAGAGATAAGAATAGAATCCAAGTTTTCAAGCTGAGGTCAGGGAGAGTCTTTCATTTATTGTATATCAGACCTGCGCTTGGGCATGTGTGCTAGTGGAAAGATCATGGACAGATTTACTCGTGTAAAAGCCAGCCCCTCCTTAATGATTTGAAATGCTAACATGACTTGGCTTGTACATGAGTAGGTAGAGGAATGATTTCACAGGAAGACAATCCCTTTACGAATGTGCTTCTAATTCTGTGTTTATATTGCTTCTCCTGTATGTGTCAGCTGCGCGCTTAGGAGGCCCGCTGAAAAAGCAGTCGTACTGAAAGCAGTGGGAGTGCTTCCAAGGAAAAGGGGTACTCCCGTGAATAGAGATGGCAGCTCTGGGTCATTAACAGAGTTACTGGTGGGAGAACTGCTCAGGATTTTCTCTCTCTCCAGGCTAAGTAAGCGTGATGTGCCTAAGTATGTCACCAGCAGCGATGTGCAAATAGGTAGGGATGATCAGTGAAATTCTAGCTGAAGAATATGAAAGGCAGATGTGTATTGCAGTTGCTTTCTCTAATACAGAATTGTGGCTTTGTTTGATGAGTGATCGTTTGATGCTGTGGTTCCTAAAGTTGCTGCTCTCCTCCCGTTTGCAGGCGATGAGGAGGAGGATGGATTAGAAAGGACCTGTGACACCCTGCTCATGTGCATTGTGACCGTATTAAACCAAGGCCTGCGGAATGGTGGTGGTGTGGGAGACGTGCTCAGAAAGCCTTCCAAAGATGTAAGTGTTTTGGCTGAGGAAATGCATTACTCCCTGTGCATCTCATGAATGCCAAAGGCAGTTTTTGGCGATTATAGGCGCTGTTTGTACGTAGTCTGCTCTAACGTCACGCAATTGATTTATCTTTGTAACTTTTATGTCCCAGATGGAATATTTAATGGGAAGAGTGACAGGAACTCTAGGTAGTAGTTTACCGCTTCTGGAAAACTGGAGCGTATTGTAACCTTCCAAGCACTGCTAAGAAGTGTTACTGGATTGGATCACTCTTCCGTTACACTAGGAATTATAAATGCAAACTTTTGAAAGGGATTGACTGATTGATGAGTATATATCAAGACTCTCCACTGCAGTACATAAGGGGTATTTTTAGCTGAAATTCAGCATGGCATCTGCCCTGGAATAGGTCCTGTTGTTTACTTGTACTTAACTACCATTGAAGTCAAAACAGAATTTCATATATCGTGATATACGTCCTCTTCCAGAATTTTCTTCCAAAAATCAATTCATTTAAGGGCTAATATTATTTGGGTGTTTTTCTGCATTTCTATTTAAGTTTAAAAAGAACATCATCAATAAAGGCAATCTAGCAGCACTTTGCTTGGTGACCCACACCATAACACAAGAATTAAATTCACAAGTAGGATCTCAGCAGGTCTTGTAAGAGTCCAGAGACAAATAACTCAGATCTGGATGGAAGAGCTCCTTATGCTGGTAGTAGGAATCTAGGTCCTAGCTCATAGACTAGGAGGTTCTGCAGGAACCATAGACCATCCTCATGAAGTCTGTAAACACATACAGACTTTGAAAATTACCCTTGCCACCTAGCAGCTATTTAACGCTAACTACATTAAAGCACTTTACAAAGGGTAGCACTATTATCCCAATGAATGTGTGGAAAACTCAGAAAATCAGTGACTTCCAATTCAGTGCCATGGTAAAAAAAAGGACATGGGTTTTATGTTCCTCCTCCTTACACTGAGTGTTGTCTCCTGTTTGCCACAGAACAACTTTGCAATTTTTAGCGGTGTCAATGGGAGTCAAGTCCAGCCTTTGCAAGAAGGAAAGTAGTTATGATGTAAAAACGAGAGTATGATGAAATGGGGAATATGAGCGCTTCATGTGTGTGTGCGTGCCTGTGCGTATGTATGCGTGCGTGCATGTGCATGTTGTGTTCCCGAAAGACACGAGCTCGGTCTGCCCACTCTGAGCCAGCTTACGGCCATATGACTGCATTAGCGCAGTGCTAAAACCGTCAACATGCCCTGCTTGGGCACGGAGTATAGCAGCCTGAGCTTGGCATGGCGCAGGCATGCTCCCCTGGTTTCCAGTTGTTTGGTGTGCAAACTTGGCTTCGGTCTGGAGTATTCCACAAAGACATACTGTAAGCATATCCCTGCATGCCACAAGGCAGTATTAAGAAGAGTTATCATTGCTGTCAGTGGGTACTAGAAACTGCATCTCCCTGTTTCCATACTGGCATAGTAATTATCTTCAGTCGAGCACTACACTAATGCATCTACACTGCATCCAGTACGCACGCTGGTCTCTTCTTCGTGCTGTGTGAAACCACGCAAAGGACAACAGGAGTCCCAAAGCGATAAAGCACATGAAGCCAAATCTTAGCCACATAGGTAGTCCCTCTCTGAGTAAGACTAGCAGAATTTGGCATATGAATAGAAAGATGTGTAGCTTTGCTTGAGCTAACATGAAAATGTTTAATATTTCAGAAGTGTGCTATTTTTGTATCTTACTGCAACCTTATTATTGTTTCAGGAGCCCTTGTTTGCTGCACGAGTTGTTTACGATCTTCTGTTTTACTTCATTGTGATAATTATTGTTCTAAACCTAATCTTTGGAGTCATCATTGATACATTTGCTGATCTCAGGAGTGAAAAGCAGAAAAAGGAGGAAATACTAAAGACAACCTGTTTCATCTGTGGTAGGTGTTACTGAGCTATTGAGACATTTGATGGGTAAAGGAGTAAAACGAACTATTCCTCAGTAAATAACACATGAACCTAAGGGGTGGTTATCTTCCAAAGTCTGTAAAAACGTCAGAGTTTGGTTCCAAATTTATTCCCTCTCAGTAGGAAAAAGATTTGGTTTAGGAGTCAAAAGCTAGCTTTGCTAAGAGGTGGCTTCACAGTCTCCACCCAGGATCTGAGGGAGAAGAGCCGTGTCTCACACTCACATCACCACCACTAATGGAGATGGTGCAGCTGCTGACTTTATTTCACAAAGCGTGATGCAGATGAAAGTACAGCTTGCTATTTCACAGCACAGTGCATTCCAGAAGGGTAACAACGGCAAAATCCGCCTGTTTCAGAAGGTGCTATGAAACAGGGAACAAAAGAATTAAATGAAAATCATCCCCGCAGATAACTCGCGCTTATTTTGAGGTGTGCTTACAAAGAGGAGCAGACCTTCAGTCGCTTAGGGGACGTTAGAAATACCTTCTTTTTTTTGTAGGCTGGGTGTTGTTTCCATGGTTGTACTGACAAGGATGAATGCTGTGCAGAGCACAACGGCTTTAGTGTCTGTGGAAGGCTCCACAAGAGATCCAGGGAGGAAAGCTGTAACACTGAGTGAGGGAAACGCTTGTGAATCCTGTCCTTCCTCACCGTGGTATTCTTCAGAGATTTGAAAAAAAAGTCATAAAAAATTCTTACGACTGCAGCTCTGTAAAGACTGTGTGACTACAAAGTTGCAGAGTGTCACCCTCGCTGCTAGGTTTAAGCGCACAAACAATCCCACCACAGCTTAAGTGGGACTATTCACGTGCTTGATGCTAAACGTGTGCATAAATCTTACAAGATCAGGACCTAGATTGCACGCTGTGCGCTTACCAGTATACATCTAGACGGAAGCAGAGCCAACACTTGTGAAGCACTTTATAGCCCTCAGCGCAGAAGGCACTGTAAAACTGTAACATATTTATTATATTGTTATTGTTATTAAGAGGAAATATCGCAAAAGAGAATAAGCGCTGCGCTG